TGAATTTGGACTTTGCCTTATTTTTGTTTTTACTACGTGTTACTGATTGGCACCTTGCTGCTGACTTCAAAGTTATGGTATTCACACACTAAAAACTATGTATTATTGAAAACTATAATTTTGAAAAAATAATTTACTAGAATTTATACATTTTATACAGTTATGGATTTGAAACTGTCTCCCTTTTGCTAGGAAGAACAAAACACAAGTCAGGAAATGGACAGTCTTGCAACTCAAGTAAGTTCAATGCAGTTTTATTCTGATTTCATATTATCTGTAACATAGATTACACATTCAAAATCTGAACATTTCACATGGTCTTGCCCTGAAGAGTTTTTTTAAAGGAAACAGGACAAGGTAAGGCATGTTCAATTTAATTTGTCAGATGAGTGTGAGATTCCCCGGTATAACTCCATGGGTGGTAAAACCAAGAATAATGACTCTGTGTCATAAGAATAATGTATTGAATATTGAAAATGAATTGGAGTTAAAAAGAAATACATCCTGAGAAATTATTTTGTCTGTATTTTTAATCTCAGTGTTTAAGTGATTACATAATGAGGAAATTAGACCGTGACCGTTTGGGTGTGGTAAAAAGAGGAACTGTCAGAAAATAACACAACAGGAAATGTATAAATTCGATGATAGAATTTCGATTCCCTGCTCATTGTTTTCTGACCTAAACTGGAGTCGAGAAGAGGAAGTCAGCGAGCCCTGTACAGGGTTGCGCAATTTCTTAAAGTTGGATTCCTTCCAGCCCAGGAGGAAGACGATTTTATCCGTGGCCAGGATGGTCTTTCTTCCTTTCCAAAACCCACTGCAAACAAAGTCGTAGATATTTAGCAACAGGATAGAGAGAGTACAGTATTGTAGGATGGTTAAGTATGAAGTGATTTTAAGTGTTGTAATTGAGCTGACCCTGCTAAAATCTTGCTTAAATAAAATTCCTATCTGCAGTTAAATTTGTGGACATTCGTTGTATGGTTCTCATCCAAGATTAAAAGGTTATACTTTGATAACAGTTTAGAGTTCTTATGGGTTATTCTAGTCAATTAATAAATAACACACCCTTGGGACCGTCTGTCCGGGTCTCTAAAATATACTTAGCAAATAACAAGTGCCATAGATCTAGATGAGAGCTGCCTTCAACATGTGGCTGTCAATTGGGTCTCACTAAGGGTTGCTGGTGGGTACCCAGAGTCAGAGGATGTGCAGGGTGGGCGCCTGGATTAAAGCAGTTAGAAGTTAAGCGAGTCCTCCTCACTGCCGTCTTAAATCAGTCTCAGTTCACCTAATAAAATACCCATAGTGATATAAAGACTCTGACCTGTTAGATGGAGAGTGGGTCCAGACCTCCTGTACAGGGGTAACTGAAGTCTAACAAATTTTAATACAGTTTTTACTGAAAAGCAAAAAGCTGATTTTATAAATTGAAAATCAGAATTTTGACAATTTCATCACAGATTGGATTGAAATTTTACATTTTAGAGCATGAGGTAGGGATTTATTAAAAGCCTCACAATTTTTAAAGACTAATGTGTTTTTTCTATACTGTTTAAAAGTCAAATGTTTATGTTTGTCCTCAGGTTGTCCCATCCACATCTAATAAAGGTGAGATACATGTACAGTGTTAATTAGTTTTGTTGATCTAAAATTCATCCAAGTTTTCAAGGCAGTAATATTTTTGTTTGGACTAAATAAATCTGCTGACAA